AGAGGTTGCACTCGTTGTCGTTATCGCCCGGGGAAATCCTTGTGAGTTTTGATGTGGTTTCATTGTTCACAATGGTACCAATCAGGGAGGCAATGGGACTTGTTGCGAGAGAATTTTTGCGAGCCAAACTCTTCGAACACTGCGTTGACATTATGCACCAATCTGAAAGATACTACCCGAGACTGACCAGGGAGGCCATCGAAATATTTAAACACCAAAACAATTTCAACAGAAAAGAAGAAATTACGGCACTCAATTGGAAGCGCGTTTGGCGCCAAACAGCATGTGCGCCGAAGCGTTGGAACCCGCACCCATCCCCCACGCATGAGCACACACAGCTGGGCGGCATAAATACGACTGGGAATCCAGCAGTTGAACCATTCTTAGTCGGAAAGCACGGGAGATCACTTCGGCCACTGCCTCATCGCCTTTGAAAATGTCCACCGCAGTTGTGGACGAAACGTCAGGAAGAAATTCCAATAGACCACGGCTTCAAAGCCCGGAAAATATTCCTAAATGTAATATGTTCTATTATTTGTTATTTTATTTTGTAACAACAAATAATCAATATTTAGATATCTATTTTGTAATCTTTCATATTTAATATAAAATGATAAACATCATTACTGTTCTGTAATAATATATAATAAATATGTTTTGAATTTAATTGAAAAAATATTTGAGTTTACCTCGGTTATTTCAGAAAACATGGGTTCCGTCTTCTTATTTTCTATCACGCAACGCATTCTTGATTTTAAGACAGACTTCAGTAATAGATCAACTCAAAGTAGCTTTCATCAACTGAACTTATATTATACAAAGCAAATAAGAAATTACGACTAAAAGCGTAATACAGAAGCTCAAGAAGAAGAAGATTTTACACGAACCCAATAGGAGCAATATGTACAACCTCTCGTTGAAGAATATTAAACGTTGCAAATAAAAAGGATATTTTACATTCCAAAGAAAATTAAATTACATTTCACCTATTCGTGATCTATTTATAAATTATTAAACCAAGAATAATATTAAAATTATAAAATAAAATTATTATTGCCATCATGCGTTAAACAAGTTCGATATTTTATGGTTTCTATAAATATATGAAGTTATCAGTTTTGTCGAGCGTCCCGTGACGGACACCATTTTTTTTAAATATAGTGCGGATATTTTTTATTTTTCTCTGCATTTTTTTCGCTCTTTAGTGACAACCACCCAAACCCGTTCTCGCGCTAAGCCGTCATATTAATTTTAAAAAAATCGATACTAAAAATTCAGTAAGTAGCTAGACGAATAATTCACTATTTCCTTTGCAGAAATGATGCGCCTTTTTAAACGACGAGGTTCAAACCCTGAGCCTCAGCTTGAAAGCGTTTCGAGATTGCCTGGAAACATGCACAATGTCGATTGCAAGAAACCAGATTGGTCCAAAGACGCTTTAAACACTTCAAGTGAGTTTGGAAATTAAAGCAATCAGTGTAACTGTTTATGTAATGTAATTTATGTATAGAACAGCTTCCTTTTAAGTACAATATATCACAAATACAAGCCAATATATCACACCTCTACTGTAACGTGATTATTATAAAGCATCGTTTAAAAATATATGCTGCCCAAGTGTATTGATCTGTCAACTCCAAGCTAGTTTATTACAGAACGCGGGGTAACGTAATTAAATGACCACTATTAACTAATTCTATGTGAATTGTCATCCAGCTTCTTCTCGGGTCCACTGCTGGACAAAAGCCTCCTCCATACGCCGCCAAGAATTTCAATGTTGCTCAAATTGCATCCGGCTGTGTCCTATTCTCCGTATATCGTCTGCCCATCGCGCCGGTGGTCTCCCTGACTTCTTCTATCTTGACGGGATATTCATTCTAATGGTCTTTTGGTCCATCTGTCATCGTTGAGTTGTGCTACATAACCTGAAAATCTCTATTTTAGCATTTATAATTCCTGCTTTTAACAAGCACTTATTGTGGGTTCGAACACCGAAAGTTAAACGAATTTGGTTTAGAGTACCGTGTTTTCCTTTATTCAGCAAAACAGAGCAGAACTTAATAATTGAAGTGTCATCTTTGCGCAAAGCGTTGAAGAGTGAAACCGAATTGACAGCGGTCATGGCAACGTCATCTTCTGAAGTGCATCTGTAGGTAATACTACTGCAATCTGTAAATTAGAAACAATCATTGTTGAGGTCTATGACAAGTTTCATTGATCTAATAAATTCCGTTCCCAGCAGGGTGCGACTGTTGACATGTTCTGGTATAGCTCCCAATTGTATGTGGACTGTCCTAACGTAGAGGATTACTGGGATATAGTAGGGCAATGCGTGGACCTATCTCTTTACTCCATCCGCACGAACTATGTCTAGATCATTTACCTCTGTGTAAGGGTCTTGGTCGTCAATGAGTGTCTGAGCAAGCCTACTTCGAGCAATATTAGGAGTAGCTCCGGTGTCGAGACAGGCATAGCCAGGTTGTCTTAGATGGATAAATACATAAAATTTATTAAACGTTCACATTGTCAGAAAGTCACAAACAAAGTAACAATATGGTCAGATGTTCGGCCGGTTGCTCCCTTTGAGCMTGATCTAAATAGGAGCGCGTAAAGCGACCATTACCTGGGCAGTGCCCTAACATGGACATTCTCGAGCCAGCTATACGCACGACAACGTCAGGAGAGAATCTTGAAGTGGCGGCTTTGGTTTTGGACTTAGCCCTTGCTGGAATAAAATGCCCTTTCAGAAATCAAGTCGGTAGCTATGGTGTCTGAGGAATTCTTTAAAAATTCATAAATTCTTCCGATTTCTTTATTAGCCCCTACATAATTAGTACCATTATCTGAATAAATGTTTAGGGGTTTTCCTCTCCTACTCATAAATCGTTTTAAAGCTGCTAAAAGATTCTCAGAAGTCAAATCAGAAACAATTTTTATGTGAACCGCTTTTGTGCACATACATATAAATAGGCATATCCAAACCTTAACAGTTTTAGCCCCCCTGGTTTTTCTATCTTTAATGAAAAATGGACCTCCATAATCAGTTCCTACATTTGCAAAAACATAGTGCTCATTCACTCTCCTCTCCCGGAAGGTCTCCCATTAAATAATTACTGCCAGTCTCTGGTTTTGAGGCACACCACACACTGTCTAACAATCCCTTTACACTTATTCCTGCCACAAATTATCCAAAATTTTTCCCTGATTGAACTGAGAAGTTGGTGAACCCCACAGCGCATCAACCTTTGATGCTTCTGACCTAAAATTAAATCTGTTAAAATATGATCTTTTGGCGGGAGGATAGGATGTTTTTTTTTTSAAAAGGAATCCTAGATTGACCAATCCTACCACCAACTCGAATAAGCCCATCCTGAAGATATTGTACCGTGGATGGCCGAGTATTAAACTCTTTCTTCAGCTTCCAACTTTTATTCCACTCGGTACAACTTTAACTACGGAACAGTAACAAACTAACTTCAAAATTACCGTCAACTTCACAAACAATAACAGTAACAGGCGGAAAACTCGCTCTTCCGACTCCCGGAGTTTAACCWCTTCTGCACTCAGGCGCGGCTGTCACTTCACTCCCCTGTGTGGTTCTCGTCGTCGCTTATATAGTTTCCTCCAGGTATTCCAGATAGTTCTCGAAATCTCCAGAACAGGTGCGAAACTTCCCGCTTGTCAGTGTCATATTTGACAGTAAATGGGGCCCAAATGATATAATAAAAAATCCAAATACCATGAATTTCGATCCCCCATTCCAAACGTGAGTACCCCAGGCCATTTCCGTCACAATATGGATTTAAAGATAGAATTTTTCTTTTTTTATTAATTAACCGATTATTGGCCAGATCCTTATATTCTTGGGAACATCGTTGAATTTGACCCAATCTTATTAAGGTTTGTGATCTTTTTATTCGACCTACTTATTTTTTATTTTTTGATAAATCTTGTAACGTAGCTCAACACCCGTAAAATTTTATTTAAACAGGAAAATTTTTTTAGTAATATCTCTAACACGTTCTGTTCCTGATTAACAGCTATGTTACTGTAAGATTGTTTTTCTGGAATATCACAATCTATTTCTGGGTCTTTCATATCCCATTCTAAATTTGGTGTTGCTAACCATGTCCATGAAACCATAATCTACTTTCGCACATCTGTTTAGGCGTTGAGATTTAATGTGATGCCAATTGTTTATATTTGTCAAGGTTTGTTTTTATTTATCACTCACCCGATTAGCTACGAAAGTCTTCCAACGGTAGGATTCTCCTTTTATACGTGCCAAAGTAACTGAAGACTCCTTCGAGAAATCAAAGTTATCAAACCTTATTTCACTGGTTGTAATTATTTTTCTAGTCAAAATTACAAATAGGACAGCCCGACAAAGCTCTAACCTTGGTTTACATTTTTAACACTGTGATATGATGTTTACCGCAGACATAGCCATTTAAGGCTTTTTGTCTTTAATGGTAGCCTGCAAGAGCCTTGGTGGGTTAGGGGCGGGGTCTTTGGTGGTTTCGGGGCTGAGAGCGAACGAAGAAAGGAAAAAAAGTAGGGGTACGGAGCGCGAAAATTAGTGGTTTGTGGCGGTTGGCCTAGAGAGTTAAATTTGAAAGAGTTTGAGAGTTTAGGTACTTTCCAGGAGGTTTGAGATGTCGGGAATCAACTTCTTAAGGCGGGTGATTCCAGGGGGGGTCTGCCATTAAACTTGTCGGGGTTTCGTATCGTTGGTTTGGGATAGTTTGGGTAAACGTGTCTTTAATGAGTGGGTTTGGGTGGTTTAGGACGCGAGTTTTGAAGTTTCCATG